TGAACCATTTGATCATGAGTCTGTGATGCCATCTTGGCACATTCTTCATCACAGTCATGGACTTCATAGGTCACATCTGGTAACGATGGTTCTATATCCTCTTCCGTATCCTGTCCATCCGGTGGAGGACGTGATAGTGCATCTGCAACTACATTCGCTTTGCCCCTAACATGGTGCAATGTAAATGTAACTGCGAGAAATCCGTGAGGAACCTAGCCATCTTTGAAGACACTCGTGGATGATACAACATCCAGGAGCATGTCGAATTGTCCGTATATACGTCAAACGGACGGCCATGTAGGTAGTGGCACCACTTCTCCGTAGCCACTTTAATAGCTAGGAGCTCTTTCTCATGCGTCGGCCAGCCTCTTTCATGTCGATCCAACTTCTTGGAGTAGAACGCAACTGGATGATCTTCATCGCCATACTTCTGCGATAAAACCCCTCCAATGCACTCTCCAGGAGCATTCATTGTTACAATGAATAGTCGCTCAAAATCTGGTAACTTTAGCGTAGGCCCCTGTTGGAGCGGAATTTTGAGATGCATATAAGCTTCTTCCATATTCTTAGACCACAACCACGGCGTGTCTTTCTTCGTTAATTCCCTCAACGGGCGAGCAATCTTTGCGAAATCACAGATGAACCGCCGGTAATACCCTGCTAACCCCAGAAAGTTCAATAGCTCCTTTCTGTTCGTCGGGTTGGGTATTTCTCAATTGCATCAGTCTTCCGCTGCTTCAGACACCACGTGTCCTAAGAATGTCACTTCTGATTGTCCAAACGAACACTTAGACAACCGAGCGTACAGTTATTTTCGGCGCAACACTTCACAGACGGCACACAGATGCTCTACATGTTCTTCCATAGTCTTGGAAAAGATGCTCATCCAAGTACACGACGATAAAATCAAACCTGTCGAACAGTGTACGCATCAGACGTGACCATGTTCCTGGCATTCCTGCCACTTTCATAGGTGGTACACACCATTGATATGTCTCCTTGTGTGTGCGGAACGCTGTGTACGGTCGGCTTGACTTTACCACAACTATTTGATGATACCCTTGCGCAAGATTGATTAAACTGTACACGACACATCCAACCATTTGATCGAATCGCTCTTCGATCAAAGGCAG